TAAGGGCTGGCACTGCCCTCTTTGACTCAGAACAGGCCAGATTTAGTGAATTCTCTAGCTCGTGGTAAATAGTGTGTGACTGGTGCTTTGGCAAGGGCTGCAGAGGGATGTACAGTACGTGTTGAAATGGTTATTTGTTCTGCTACTGGAAGGAGAGCCCAGTTGAAAGAAGAGAGGAGCTAGAGGATGTGCCTCTTCCATGGGAGGGTGGTGCTGGGATCCTTGCAAGTTGGGGTATAACCTTGCTTCATGAGCATGCTCCATCCCAAACGTGCTGTCCCATGGTGCTGTGGCTTTTCCAACTCCATGAGAAAGACATTGCTGGGCAGAAAGAAAGCCTCACCTCCATGTCATGCAAGGGGGAAGAACAAGATCTTACAGCCAGACAGAAGGGCAATGTCAGGCAGGCCAGGAGCACCTACACAATAGGGGAATGGCTCAGACACCACTCTGGGTCTCTAGAAGCACCTCAGCACTTTCTGGGGGACAATGGGCTCTTCTGAAGGGTGGATGGTACAAAATTTACCCTGACTCAATCCCTTGGAAGGGAAAATCTGAGCTCTAATTGTCAGGAGGACATTGGTCATTTGTGCTGATTGTTTTCTGCTTGGAGGCATTTCAAGAAGTGGCTTTTGGAGTCCTGAATAAGGACCTCCTGTGCCCAGAAGAAGCTGGTCTAATTTTCCCACCTGTAATAAGTTGGTCTTTAAAAAGATATTGTCTCTGCACACAGACTTTATATTACCTATGTCCTTTGACCAATGCAGTCATCACAAAACTACTTTGAGGCAGCAGATCAATGGAACAGCAGATCAGTGGCAGTCTGCAACTGCTCAAAACCAGGAATAAGAATTTTCAGGTAGAGACATGCTCACCTATGGCATCAGCCCTTGTGTCCCCATCTCAGCAGACTGATGGTATGAGCACCACCAGAGGCTGGTGAGCTGTTTGTATTTTCAGGATCTTGGGATGACTCAGACTCTGGCAGCAGACTCTAGGTCTGGTGCCCATTTTTCTCTTCCATCTTTGCACTGCCTCTTGCCCAAGAAGTCATGGCCTACAAGAAGGACCACTTCCTATTGTCAGTGCAATACCCATAAATGAAAGACCATGCACACTTGTAATGTGGAATCACTTACAGAGAAAACATGATCTCAGGTACACTGGATGTCAAAACCAAATGAGACACTTTCCTCTTAGTTTTATCACAATTTTTCCCAGAACCACTGCTACTTGCATTCTGAAAATTTACAGGATGAAGGATTTTGTCATGATATCTAATTCTAATCTGGAGTGATTTACTGTTAAGTTGAAAATCAAGCCTGTACATATCCCCCTCCAAGTGGTTTCTGTGACAGTTTCTATTAACCATAAAAATGTCACTTGCTAGGAAGTATCAGCCTTCTTATGGGCTTTGCAATCATCACTACCAGATGCACACTTACTGAATGGAATAAATAGTCATCTCGTACAATTAGCCCAGGATGCAGGACATGTCTGGCTATCTCTCTTGGCTCCAAAGTGAAGTTTTCACAAGGAAACCCATATACCAGGAGATGAGATCTATGTGGATTCTCTGGATTTCTTGAGAACTTGACATGTTATAAAGCCTTAAGGATAAAACTAACAGTTTTGGTGCAAATCTTGTGCTTTTGGTCTGTGTAAGGTAACTTAAATACCCATCTCACTTCATTCTCATCCAGTAAAAAAAAAAAAAATTGTGTTTATTCTGTCACTTATAATGTGTTTTGAAATAGTCTTCTGGCTCTGTGGTGTTTCCTGCTGTTGCACAATCACAGTAAAATGTGTAGTGTGGGGTTGCACTGTAACCACTTTGTCCCCATCTACCCTTCAAGGAAATGACACACAGAGCCCTTCTCGAGCCTGGGGCTGTGGATGGGGGCTGCTGCCCGTGGGATGTGTTAGCAGTGTTGAGACACAGATTTATGTTACTCTGGTCCTCAGGTATGAGCTGAAACGAGAGTTTGGGTTTGTGTCATGTCCTGCCAGAGCTCTGAGCCACTGCACTCAAGGTCTCTGCTGTTGGTGGGGAGCTCAAGAAATCAGTCTGAGTACAGAAGATGACACTCAATGGTTTCCCACATTTTAAGCCATATTGTGAGCAGAAGCCATAAAGAAAGTTGTAACTTGGACCTTCATTGCTGTGTTTGCATCTGAGGATTGAAGTCCAGGGGGCTGCAGAGCTGAAGTGGTGGATCTGAACTGCATGAGACACATTACCCCTGCAGCAGCAGAAGCAAGAAGCCTGTTTACATCTGTCTAGAAGAACAAAGTCATATTCTCCACTTCTATGCACCATTCTGACCACTGAGGTCAGTGAACTTTGACTTGTGTGTCAGGGAAAAAAGTTCACTGTGTAGGAGTTTGCAGCTGGCACAACGAACAGAGGGAAATATCAGCCACCTCTACAGAGCACTTGGATCTCTTGATGAAGTGAACTTGCAGCGCCTGGATGGATCTGAAAGAGTAAGGGGAGAAAGAAAGCATGTGGTCACATTTCAAGAGCAAGGACACTGTATTTGAAAGTAGAAGCTCTGAGAGGGACACGTGCTATGACTTCAAAAAAACATCTGGTCATACAAGGAGCACCATCGGTGCAGGGAGCTGAGTGTTGAGCATCATGCAAACAGCAGCTCCTGTACTGTGCTGGGCAGGGCTCATGAGAGAAGAGACAGTAAGCAATGAAGGGGTTTTAGTTCCTTCTCCCCTCTTTGTCTGCTTTGCAAAGGCTGTTGTGAGAGTGGAAAGGGTTTAAAAATGTCTGGAAGAACGATTTGCAACTTGTCAAACCTGCTCTAGAAGGAGAATATGAACAAGCTCATCCTATCAAACTTCAGGAAAAGAAATCTTGAAGTAGGACAACTTCAGCACAGGCAGAGGCATCTAGTCTGATGTTAGAAGGCCCTTTGTTTTTTATCTACCAAATACCAAATATTCCAGAACAAAAAGCTCCTGTGCATCCCTTGCCCATGGAATTTATAAAGATTTATAAATTAAAGTTAGATTTACAGAATATTATACAACATATATTTCTAAATGCTGTTTTCAGAGGGAAAAGTGCCTGTGGTCTGTTTGTGACTGCAGAACCTGTGATGAATACCTAGAATGTTCCTCTCCTGGAAATGCTGTTAATTGTTTTTTCACATGATGAAATTGGTTTGAAGCAATTTCGCTGTCCCTTGAAGTCTTGTGAAAACAGAAAACAGAATGTATTAGTACAGGAAAAGATGATGCTCACAGTTGTCTAAGAACTAAAAAGCCATGTGTATTCTTTAAAGTCTGTGGGATGAGGCTGCTTTCTTCACTGCGGTGTTAACACATGCACCTTCGAGACTCTCATCTCAGCCAGCATCTGAACATGCTCTTGCATTTCATCCGGTGGCTCAGGAGCAAAAGCACCAGCTTATATTCAGCAACATGTAGCTCCAAAATCACTGTCGGCTAAGTATTTTCATTGCTAACAAATTAAACATTTTCACAGCTATTATTTGGACTAAAACTTGATAAATAGAACAGAAGGACTCTGATGAAGCTAAATTCTCCAACCTGTGAACATTCTTCTCTGACTGGGACAGATGAGAGAAAAGAAAAAAGTAGGATGTGGATGTTTTCATCCCTGCTCTCTGTGACATGGCCCTTGAATGGATGACTGTCACCAGAGAAAAACTGTCTTGCTGAGAACTTTATATTGAAAGATCCAATTCAAAAAGTGAGATTTGCAGGCCAAATTGAAGGAATTATTTGTGTTTCCAAATTTCAGTTCAGTGAAAGTTTGGGAATTAGTTGGGGCAGTGATTTTTCCATGCTTCAGAATAATAGCAGGAACACATACACATGCTGTGTACAAAGGCACTCCCTGAAAAAAATGAAATTGAGCTGATATATTGGAAAGGTGCCAGACTGATGTAAATGGGAAATCAAAGACATTCATCTTCAGAGGAGGTATGTCAAAGGTGCTGGCAGCCAAAGCTTCTCCACAGAGTGGAAAACTCATTGGCCAAGTTTTGTTTTAGTGTTTGTGAGGAGAGATTTGGTACCCACAGGATCATCCCAGCTCACTTCATAACTGAAGCTTTACCATTATCATGTATGAGATTTCCCCATAGCAAATAAAGTATTGAAATTGGAATAAAGTATTGAAATTGCAGTGGAGACAATACATGAATTTTAACTATGTCATAAACCATATTTTAGATGGTCATAATAATAAAAATGTTTGAGACCCAAATAAGCTGAAGATTTTGTCTTTAAAAAAAAAATCCCAAGCAACCCAAACCTGCTCAGTCTCCACTTCTAAAACAGCCTGTACAAACAGACTTAGCATTGACTTTACATTGACTGATCTATGCTCAGGCCACAGGAGCACGTAGAGAGAACCAGGAGTTTGCTGGCAAGCCAGACTACAGCTTTTCCCATGGCAGCTCCTGGAAGGGGGTCCTTGTCTGAAGATTCCCACTCATGTCCCATTCACTTTATGGATGTCCTCAGGATCTTGTCTGAGCACATCTGAGTGTTTGTGCAGCACCTGACGCAAACAGGCCCCTGTCCCACTCCATTTAGCAAATGATAAATAAGATGATAATACAATAATTGAAGTCACTCATACAGACAGTAATCACCTCATGATTCAGTACAACACAGACCTGCGAGGTGGAAGACTGCACTAAGCTTATGCAGAGATTTCCATCTTGCCCATCAGTTTCTGCACGCTAAATATATTCTGACTCTACCAATGCTGAAGTTTTAAGGTGAGATTTTCTCTGCTTGGACTAAACCCAAATGCCAGAGAATTTGTAATGCCAGAACAAAACCATTCAGCCACTTTTGAGTCATGTGACACTGAAAGACAAGGTATTAATAATGTTGCTATTAACTGCTGAATCAAGACTCACTGATAGCACATACGATAATATTTTTTAATTTATTGAGGAGGGAACAGCAATACTGGGAGAGGTGGGAGATAGGAAACTTCGGAGAGTTTATACCCTCCAGTGAGCAACACCTGATCCAGAAATCAGGCTCTAGCAATGTACAGTGCAGAGAAAGCATGCTTGAATGAATGCCTAGGACCTGGCTGATGCATACCTCACAGCTAATCTGGTTACGCGGGGTTTATTTCACAGTCGGAAGTTCTCGCGCTGGCGGAGAGTCCTGCTGGGGTTTTCTGAGCACACGGCAGAATTAATGAATGAGCGAATGCAGCTTGCCAGCCCAGATTTAAATTGCTTACTAGATCAAAATCTGTTCATTTTCTCTGTCTTTATTTCCAGCCTCTCTGTCTTTTATTTATTAATTTATTTGAGGAAACAGATAAAGAGCACAGAATGTGCCTGCGGACACCATCAAAGCAGCAAATGCAGATAAAGGGCTGTTTTCCAGGCTGGCCTGAGCCCTGGCACCAGGCTTTGAGCCACGGTCCAGGGCAGGGAGGTCCCTGGCAGGGGCTGGTTGGTGGCTGGTGCTGTTGATGTAAAGCCCCCAGCCTTTACATCCCTGCTGCCCTGAGCCTCTCACTGGGCCCCAGCCACCCTTTTCCACAGCCCCTGGGAAGAGGACAGCATTGAAGCAGTGAAGCCCTGCTTTGAAAAAGCAACACATAAACCCGGGCTGCTTTGCAGGAAGGGTCACGTTTTTTCTATCTTTCAGATCCACGCTGCCTTTGGTATTAGCCAGTTGTCGGGCTTTAATGGGGACTCGCTAACAGGATATCTGGAATATTTGGATTTATTTGGCCACTGGGCAGACCTCCAGCCTGCCGTTTTGACTGCGGCGTTCGTATTTTAATAGGAGTTTTAAGAAGGCTTAGCTAGGGGTATTTAAGGTAGTCCCTGAATTTCATGCAGACTTTTCAGCTCCGACGGAAAACACCGCGCCAAGGAGATGCGGCGGCAGTTTTTACGAAGCAGAGGGATCTATAAAGATGCCACTGTCACTGCCCTCCCGAAGACCCTTTCGGAACAGCGAATCTCCCCTCGCACCGCGGCGGCTCCTCTCGCATGCCCGAGTCCGGAGCCCTTAACTCCGCGCCCAGCCGCGCTGCGCAGGGCCGGGATGCAGCAGCGCTCCGCGGCAGGAGCGGGGCTCCGGGAAGGGAGGGATGGATGCTCGCCCCCATCGCTCCCTCCCCAGCCCCTGCTTCGCCGGGCCGGGCATCTCCCTGCGAGCCCCGGCGCTGGATGTGCTGCAGGGCCGGCGTTTGGCTGCTCCGAGCTCCCAGAGCCTGAGGCGCCTCCCCGGACTGCGCTCTCGGAGCCAAGGGGAAAGGAGACAAATGTCGCTCATTCAAGGTGAAGGGCAGTGCTGGCATGATGGAAAAGCAGCCTGTGCTCTCTGCCAAAGACTGGAGACCTTCCTGAAGATTCACTGCTCTCCGGTTTTCTTTATGCTCTTATTTTAGAGCTTATGGAAAGAAGAGGCTGATAATCAAGAGAGAGATTCTGCCAATATATCCAGGTATCCTGAGCTGCACTGCTGCTGCTCTTCCTCACTTTCCTCTCTCCCTGTGCTGCCAACACAGACTGAGCAGGGATGGATTGCTCTGCTGCCTGGTGCAGTGCAGTCGTGCAGGCATCTGCTACTGCAATATTGACCAGGTCTGCTTTCCTCAGCTAGAGACTGCACTGAGAATTACCTCCAGGTCTCCAGAGATGCAAACCCAGTGTGCAAAGCACTCTGCCTGCCGCTGATTTAACCTGCCCGTTTGGATCCCAGCCCCTGAGGATGATGAGGCACTTTTCCTCCACACCATCCCAAAAGGAGCTGAAGAACTTCAGAAATGAAAATTTGCTTTGAAGGTGTCCCTGTGGTCACCTCACTTCTCTGGGAGGGAGGCAGTTTGGCAACTGAAAACCAAACTGGGGAGCAGAGCCAAGCTCCCCAAAAATAGTCTGGAAGAAACTAAAGCAAGGAGGAAGATTTAAAAAGGCTCCTCAGAGCCCAGCACATCAGTTGTTCTGCTGGAGGTTTTTTCAAGTCTCCCCTGTTGGTGTGAGGCCCTATACAGCCAAAAAACTGCAAGCAGCTGCCCTCCTTTCTCTCCTGCTTCTCCCCACGGGGCAGGTGGAGGGGCACACACCGTGAAGAAGGCAAGCTCAAGGCCTCACCATAATCTTGAGCTGCTCTGCCCAGTGTGCCCACACCCACACACCTCTTCAACAGCAACCACCTACCCCAGAGAAGGTGTGATCTCAACACATTGCATGGATCCATGCAGAAGGATGGGAACACGAGGGTGAATATCAAGGCTTGAGAATATATCAAGTTTGAGTAAAGGCTTGCCTGCGTGATGGAATGTTCATGGAGTGGCACACTGATGACGGAGGAAAGATGCAAAAGGCAGCCCACCATAACTTTGTGCTACCAAGCATCCCTTGAAATGCTAATTAAAACGAGTGGAGGGGGAGGAGCCTGCTAGCAGGATCACAGCCTTGCTTGGATTGAGTAACAAATGTGTAGTAGGCATCCGTGTTTTCCTCTACATGTGTCTTCCAAGCTGAGTTGGCTGGAAATGTTGCAGTTTTGTGAAACCCACACAGAGTAGCATGCAAACACAGACTAGATAGAGAGGCAAGGTCTAGTCATGAAGCTGGAATAGAAAAAGCCACGACAGTCTTCGGCAAATAAATAAGTAACTGCCCGAAATGAGGGCTAATTAACTTGCAATAAACCAACTTAACCACTTAGGGGCAGCGTTAACACAGAGTTAACATGCAAAACAAACCTGTACTTTCTCACCTGGTTAATTTAACGTGCTCCGTGAATATTCATAGTGTGTGGAATCCTGCTACATCAACACAGCAAACGGTGCGGTCTGTCAAAACCGAACGCGTGGCAAGAGGAGTAACTCAGTGGCGGCTCGCACGGCGCTGACTTTGATCAGGTCCTGCTCCTAAACACATTCAGAGAGGAGGCAGGACTCTGCTGCTTTCCCTCCCTCGGGGTCACAGAGTGTGCTCTGTACAAAGATAAAAACCCAAAAAAAAAAAAAAAAAAAAAAGAGACAGAAAAGAGCTTCACTTAAAATAAACATTAAAAAATCAAACAGAAAAAAAAAGGTGTCTTTGAGAAATGCTGCTCTTGCATTCAAGAGCTGAACTCTCCATTTTATCTCTGTGGCCACATTCAGAGTCACTTTGCTCTCAGACAATACGTTTCTTTCTCTACATTGCATGCAAAAAGGTCCCAGTTCCTCGAATGCCTCTGAAACATTTCCCTGCATAAAATGGAGCCCAGACCTGTTTCAGGTATGTTTACACTTCCAGATCAGAACACGTAAATAAAGAAAAGGTGCCTTTTTTTTTAGTGTGACTTGACTAACTTGAGTTAGAAAAAACCCACAGTAACATGTTTTTATCTTTATTTATTTATCTATTTACTTTTAAAGGGGGCTAACAGCTTGAATTCAGACTCAAGTAAACCTCATCATACCTCAGTGTCTTTTTAACCTGAGGTACTAAAAGCACAACTTTCCCCCTCCTTGCCTTTCCTAGCACATTTACAAGCTCAGGCATGGCTTGCCAGTGTCCCAGCCTCACCTTTACAGCCACCAGGTGCTGGGGCTGGGTGTGCATGGTGTGCCTGGTGCTCCTGGAGAGGATATATTGAACATGGCATAAAGTTAAAGCAGGGTGGCTAAACAATATCTGATCTGGCAGAAGAAGCTGCTGGTACAAAGTTGGCCTGTCAGAACCATTAAAATAAATTTGAACCAGTGGAGTGAGTGCCACATGGCCAAAGTGTTTTTGCTGCGGTGTCAGGGGGCCCAGAGACAGATTCCCTGTGCTGTCAAACTCTGCACTTGGGAAAGGGGTTGGGAAATGTCTGCCTACCCTCGCTGGCATGCCTGTCTGAGCAACAACACTGGGGTGGGTGAGGAGGCAAAGGACCAGGGATGATCCTTCAGCCCTGAAGGATGCAGACACAGACCTTGTTCAGCACTGCCCAGGTCCTGGCAGCTGTTTGACAGTGGAGCCTGGTGTGACAAAGGGCTTCCCCTGGTGCAGGAGGTGGTGCTGGGGGGCTGAGGTGGAGGAGAAGAAAGATGTGCAGCACTGCTGCCAGCACTGCCTCTGCAGAGGAGGGGGGATCAGGCTCCAAAGCCATCACCCTGCCAAAAACATCAAACTGACTGAAATAAAGTCCCGCAAGGAGAGGAAGCAAGCGAGCTGTCAGAAGTGAGAGAAACAACAAGCCCACTGTACAGAATCATCCACAGACCACCCTTCTCCACTGAAGTGATATTTCTCCTTTCACCTGTCTCAAGTGGATGAAAAAAGTCAATGTTTAGGCACTTACTTCCTTTGCTTACACACTTTGAGTGCTGGCCCTGCCTTTTCTTCCAGGATGGCCAGCGCTGCCCGGGGAGATGCAGTCCCACAGCTCCTGGAAGGAAGGAGAATGACGGGGCTGAGTCGTCATGCATTATGCTGAATATTTACCCCTCATGCATGCTATTTTATTTTAAATCTAGCGTGTAATATGCTTTGCATCTAGCGTGTTGCTCTTGTGTGTTTTTCCCTTGCCCTGCCTGTCTCTTGCTGGCAGCTGCCATCGTGAAACAAAAGGCAGCTGCCAGTTTGAGTGAACATCTCTCTTTCTCACTCACTTTTTTTGCCTCTTGCTCTCAGAGCTGATGCAAAACCACTTCACAGACTGGGTGGCAGGCACTGATGCAAGGGGGGTTTGCTGCCCTTGGGATGCTTGAGCATGCAGTGCCTCTGAGACTCGCTGCCAGAGCCCAGAGCTGTGTTCAAGCTCTTGAACCTGGCTCAGCAGTAGCCAGGAGACAAGCAGCTGTCTCTCTGCCAGCACACCAGCTCGAGCTATCTCCATTGCAGCAATTGCCCATTTCACAGGATTTGATTATGCTGCTTTTGGCAAAGGTGATGGTTTATTAAATACCACTTTGGTCTTCTGCTCCAAGATGTGTAATCAAAGGCAGGGATCTCTTGCTCCAAACCAATGGTGTTCCTACATCATCTGAAAAAAGTCTGAAACAAGCAGGATTGAACTGAAACAGCACTTGGAAGAATAAATTTTCCTATGTCAAATTAAAGTAACATGGGGAGAAAGCAGGATGAGATGCCAGGACCCAGACCCTGAGGCCAGCTGTGGGCCTTGGATGGTGCAGTCCTTTGGCCAGTGATTCTGTGCAGAGTGAGAAGCTGCTGTGTGTGAGAGCCTCCAAAACTCAACCAGGGTCTTTATTTCTTGGCTCCTCCTCTGACTCTATAACTCCATGTTCTAGGAGACTCTGGAGACCATCAGAGGGGCCAGTTCAGCTGTTTTTTCCAGAGCTGGAAAGAGATATTTTTGCTTTTCTTAAGAGCCTTTCCCCTGAGCTATAATGAAAACATGCTTTGGGAAAACAAGCTGAACTCTTGACTGCTGTAAATAGCCATGGGCTGGGTCACGCCTCTGGGAAGGGACTGTGTCCTGCTGGGAGAGGAGCAGGGATGAACTGAGTTTGCTGGAGCTGTGGTCACTGCCACCAGCTCTGTATTTTATCTCTCTGGGCATGGTGAGGGGTCTGGGGAAGAGGGTGAGGCACAACAGGCAGGGAGGTTGTAGGAAATCAAGCAGGATTCCAAATGATAGGGTAAAATGAAAAAGCTGAATAAATGCAAGCCTCAGTTCCAATCAGGAAAGTTAGGAAATGAGATCTGAAACACCCTCCTGGGAGTCTCGTGTGTGCTGAAGAAGCATACTGAAATAAATCCTCATGCAAGCTGTATCACTCTGATTGTCAGAGAAACTGAGCCCTCGCTCCTTTCCTTTGTGACAGTTTTCTTTCAGACAGCTCCTGGGTTTTTTTTGTTGTGTGGCTTTTTCTTTTTGCCTTTTTTTCTTTTTTCTTTCTTTTTTTTTTTTTTTTTTTTTTTAATAATAGGAATGGGTATTCTCATGTCACTCATTGTAAGCTTCTTTGTGGAAATTATGGCAATATGGACTTGTTCATAGGGACAGTTTGGAGAGATCCTGGTTTGTCTGATTTCCTGACATTGTTTTCCTAAAGCACAGAATAAAGACAGGAAAAGAAACTGCAGAGGACAGGTCTGGAGCTCCCTGAGGAGCTGTCAGGGCAGGTGAGAAATCACAAGTGCAGGTGAGAAGGTTGTGATTTTTGTAAATGAACAGTAAGCTATACTTCCCAAATGAAGATGATTTCCTCTAGATTAAGCAGGATTGCAAATAAACAAAGAATAAAAATTTATGTCCATGAGCAAAAGAGGGCATCTGGCACTGCTTTGTGTACTGACCTGCCTCTCAGAAAGGCAGGTGGGCACTGCAGGAAAACAGGAAACACTTCCACCTGAGCCACTGTAATACCCTCACCAGAGCTCCTGGATGGGTCTAGAGGTTTTTTCTACTTCCAAAACTACACAGAAAGTAGAATTTATGGCAATGTTTCCAGTCTGATTTATATGAGACACCCTCTAGTAAGTGGATTGTGAAGAAGCAGCAGCTTAAATGAACAGCTGGATGCCTTCAGGCTCCACTGTGGCCCCGTGCCCTTGTGCTCTGATTTGCCACAGTTGTGCTGCAAGAGCACCAGAGTCCCACTGCCAGGAACTCTGTGGCTGTGACAGGACATGGGGCAGTGGCTGCCCTAATCCACTCATCAGTTATAGCACAGGTGAAACATGGTCCCGCTCTGAAAACTGTACATTTATTTTAACTCCTGCAACACTGATGAGTTGACACAGCTGTGATAGAAAGCAGATGAGACAAATCCTTTTCCTTTGCCACCATCTGCATTTGGCAAGCCAGGACTGACAGCTGGGCCAAATCCTGCTCCTGAATGTCAATCCTTTCCATTGCTTTGGGTTCTCCTCTCTGCCAGCTAAGGAGCTTTTCCTGATTTCCCTTTAGGGAGCCCTGTTTAGCAGTAATCCCAGGTTCTGCTACAGGGGCAGGATTCTGCTGGGGGCTCCAGTCCCCCTGCCCCAGGCACAGCTTCCTTTTCCAGCTCAAACTACACTGCTGAAGTGGCCTGTCCCTTTGCTTAAGTGATAATAACCATTACAAAAGGATTCTAAAACATCTTCATAAAAGGCAGAAACACATAACTCCTCTGTCTTTCCTCAAAACTTTGCACCCAGATTTTCTGTAAGCCTGCCTTGGTCTATCTTGTCTCCAGTCTCTGTTGAGCCAGTCCTGTCCTGCTGGTGGTTGAGGAGTTCTCTCATTCCCAAGCAGGGAGGAAATAGGCTGTGCTCTGCTGTCTCTGTCTGGGACGTCTCAGCTCTTGCACCTCTGCCTCACCATCACTCTGGTTTCCCTTCCAAGACCCTCTGTCCCAGGTGCTCTACAAAAGGACCTCCCTGAGCCCTTTCTTCTTGTCCCCTCTCTGCTGCCTGTGCCTGCCTCCCCAGGCTGGGGTTTCACCACTTTGTCCTCCCAGTGCACATTTTGTCACCTTGGGCACTGGCAGAGAGCAGCCACAGGCCCCTGAGCAAGGCTGGTTCATTCTGTGGCAAACATCTCAGGGCTGATCTCAGAGCCAGGAGGATCTGAGGGATGCTCTTATAAAGGGAGGGAGGCTTCTGGCCATGATGCACTGGGGTGGACACAGATTCTGGAAGAATTTACCTCACTCCTGCCTGGACCTCTGCACATCCTGGTGAGAGACACTGCTGAAAAACAGAGAATGAAAGCCACCTGCCTCCTTCTCCTTCTGACACTCCTTGCTCAGTGAGGAAGTAGCTTATGTATGACTGACTGCCCCTGTGAAAGGGAGATAAAATCACTCACTGCACTCAGATGGAGAGTCAGGAGTGACAATGAGGATGGATCGGACTTCCACCTCCTAAAACAATTCCATAGTCTTTCCCTCACCAGGACATCAACCGAGAAAATATATTTCTTCTTCTACAACCCTTTACTTGCCGCTTCTTCAGCTGCAACTAAGGTGTTCCTGGCAACACAGAAGCAGCCTTTGCTGAAGCCCATTCTGGGATTTTCCAGTAGTCATTTGCCAAGCAAGGACACGAGGTTTCACTGCAGAATCTCAGATCCCCCTCCTGCCCCCTCTCATGTTCCCAGGCTACTGGGGTGATGCAGGTCCTTTGGTACCTGCTCATTGCTATGTCCTGAGCCCTGGAGGAGTCAGCAGCAGATCATGCTGCTCACATCCTGAGATGCCCTCTGCCACACAGACCCAAAGAGCCACTTTCAGCCTGGGGCTCAATATGAAGTTTTGAGGTCAGATCCTCCCTACCAGCAAAATCATCTCTCCTTACCCTTTTGTTGTTTTCAGCTTTTAACTAAAGCAAGTTGGGGGTAGACCTTGAATTCACTTTTGATGTCAGGGAGAAGGATTTGAGATCATTACAAGCTATGAATACCCCAAAACATTGGAGAAGACACCAGAAAATGCCAATTACTTCAATGCTGGAGGAGATCCAGATTGTCTGCATTCACAGTGGGACTGACAGCAGCCAGCCACGCAATCTGGGCAATCCCAAGCTCTCCTGTCCCACAGTAATGTCCCTTCAAGACACTGGGGTGGATGATGGCCTGGGTTATGCAGCTGGGTAAAGCCCAGGTACACAATGAGATGTAAAAACCTCAGCAGAAAGCAAACAAGGGCAGACACAGTGCAGGACACTTGAGAGCCCTGAGTTATGGGGGTCTGGACCACACAGCTAGGGCAGGTTCACTTCCAAAAGGTCCCAGCAATGAGAACCTTTTCTGGGAAGCTTAGAGCTCACAGTGACAACAGGCTGCCACTCAGAAATGCTCTGCAGTGGGCTGTGAGGACACAGAGCTGAAGCAGAGTAACAGTGAAGAAACGAAGCCTCAGCCATCTGTAAATCTCATCAAACCATGGAAATCCCCTCTTTTTCTCCACTAAAAGGCTCTCTTGTGTTGGGAAGAGGAAGGCTGAGCTGTTGATCTCAGTGTTGAGGCATCCCTTTTAAGATTCCCTATAACATCCCATTTCTCATCTCTACCCCCAACTGGAGACCTTGCCTGCCTCCTGGAAATGCACTGGCAAAGTTGAATTTCGAGAGCTCTCTTGTGGCTCTCACTTGCATGTCATCCCTCAAAAAGAAAACAGGAACTGGGGGGTGTTGAGGGCGAGGATGCAAACGGGCTGTGCATGCCTGGTGGTTGGTTAGAGGGTGGCCAAAGGTTGCTCTCCCTGAGCTGGGCTCCTGCCCTGGCCAAGTCAAGAGCCCTGCCTGGCAGGGCCTGACCTCGCTGTGATTTCAGCCTCCATTCGCAGCATCTGACCTGTGGAGTTTTCATTACGAAGATGAGAGAAGGGCGGGGAAGAAACCCGCAGAAAGCCTTCTATAAAAAGCCAAACTTCCCAAGCCAAAGCCAATAAAAACCTTCCCAGCTGTTCCCGCTCCTCTGAGCCAGCTCGGGCAACAAAACCCTTCCCGCGAGGCGCGGAGCCGCGGGGCGCCGTGGCCGTGGGACGGGGCAGGGACCGAGGCGAGGGTCCCGCTGTGGGTGAACGGGGGGCCCGGGGGAGCAGAGGTGCCTGCCAGAGGCTGACTCAGCGGGACACAGCGGCTTGTGTAACCTCCAGCAATCCATTATTACAAAGGGGCTTTCAGGAACTCCTCTGTGCCAGGCACAGCGAGGGTTATTGATTGAGGAGACAGTGCAAATGCACAGAGAGGCTCCATCCATTAGGGCCGCTGCTCTCCACCAATTAGAAAAAAATCATTACTCAGCAGCCATCAATGGGCTCTGCACAGTGCTGGAGTGCATGCATTCAATCTATCTTCTCCCACCTCCCTGAAAACTTAATGACAACTATTAGAGCTCCGCTGAATGCCCGGTGTGTACAGAAGCAAAGATTCATTTGGTAATCTTAGTAATTACGACGCCATAGGAGGACACATGCTAAATTCAAACAAGGGTGTGAGGGGGAGCCGAGGGGGGAAGAGCCTGAATTCCTGTGTTGTGAGAGCCCTTGTCTTCCTCAGCCTCCCATCCCTTCCCACTCACCTGCTGCCTCCCCTCCCCTTCTCCCACAGCCTCTTGTGGGTTTTCTGGACTCACTTTTCTGCTTTTTTTTTTTTTTTTCTGCCCCCTCCCCAAAAGGGAAACACAATTTTGTAAAAGTAAATTGAAGTGGGGAGACTTGGAAAATATTTGAGACCTCTGGATGAGGCAAAAGCCTGGCAACGCTGTTTGACAGCACTGCCCTGAGCGATCGAGGAGGCAAATTCCCATTTACAAAAGCCCATGGCAGTGCTCTGGAGCCCTGCTGGCATAACACAGGCAGGGTGCAATGTATTTACTCTGCCACAGGCCTCTCCCCACCCCACCCTGCCACCCAGCCTTTTCATTTACACACATCAGGACTGAGCTGAGCGAGACCCTCGTCTCTTCCCTTGCCAATGCACGTCACTCCGAATTATGGGGAAAGCAAAGTCCCAGGAGGGAATTTTTGGAAAAGCTCAAGGATGGATGTGACATGTCATTGAAGCTGAAAGGAGCAGTTACTTACAAGCAGTGGAGCTTTCCACAAGCCAGTCTGGGAGGAGGTAAGTCATCATTATCTGAGGGGCACTGACGGTGCTCATCAGCAGCCAGAGCCTGGAACGGGCGTCAGTCACACAGCGTTCAACACCTCATCTCCCAGCAGAGGAACACCCACCACAACCCTTGTGGGAATCCAGGGCTTCCCTCTGGCTGCCCTGGAAGGTCTGGGACCCTGGCAGAGGATCAGGAACCCCCCTGGACAGAGCCCCCAGAGACACTGTCTGTGATCTCTATCCATGGAAAAGAGTTTTCAATCTTACAGGATGAATTACAAGCTCTGAGTGTTTGATATGAGTAATAATTAAGTGTGGCAGGGGTGCAAAAGTAAAATTTTAGGTTTTTAGATTAGGGGTTCAAAGGGGACAAGATGGAGGAAATTGGGTGTGTCTTGTCCTTTTCCTCCTTCTTCATGCCCTCCATGTTTCACTGCGGTGTTGGCATTTTTCTATTGGTTTAGGCTGGGGACACACTGTTCAACGTAGGTGACAGATATTGGCACGTTATTGTAAATCCAGCACAGGTAGTTTCTGGTATTTAATGTTTGTAACATCCCACTGAGGGCAGAGCCCCACACGCTGCCCTGCAGGACAGAGCTGCGGCAGGGCAGCAGAACATGTCAGAGATAAACAGTATAAACAACCTTGAAACCAGCACAGATGAGTTATGACTTCTTTGGCAACGGGGCAGAAAGACAGAGATTTTATACAATCTCGGAATCAT